TGGGTTTGAAGGCATGGATTATATCAGAGTTGTCTTCCCACAAGGAGAAACAGCTGATTAATCACCCTGCCTTAGCTATTATGAGGAGACAGCCTCTGCTTCCAAGCCTAAACAGGCACAGAAAAGAGCTGCGTGATGAATGCAGAGGGATAAAACCAGCTGCACTCTGACTTGTGGATTGGCCCAGAGCGCATTCCTGTTGAGAGCTCCCTTCTGAAGATGGTTTGAGTGACAGGAGGAAAGGCTCAAAAGCATCCTTTGGGGAAATGGGAATGTATGCAGAGAGCTGCAGGAAGGGCAATATTAAGCCATAATGTCTCGCTGTCGGTCCTCATGAATTCTTCAGGTGGTCTGAAGTTGACAGCTTTTTCCTCCTTTTCCCCAGCCCTCCTATGCTTTGCTGTGCAGCCACATAGGTGACTCATGCAAGTGGTTTGCAGCTTACAGGAAACAGTGTCTGCTCCCTGCTCAGCTTGTGGCTGTTTGGTGCCCCTTTCCTTGGCTCCATTTCCCCTGGAGAGACAGCTTTTTCCACCAGCTTTGCCAAGAGCAGTGGTTCTAAGATGCAAACCTGCAGCACGTGCTGTAACTCTCACAGACTGCCTCCTGCACGTCAGAAGATAGCTGTGAATGGCACAGAAACAGGCTCAGTACACTGGCCCCTTAATACAAGCTGCATTCTGACTTCCTCCTGGACTCAGATATGGTGTTACTGCACACTGCTAAACAGCTGTCACACTCCAGCCCAGACACAGCTGCATCTCCTTGACAAGTTTTAAAATCCCTGTTCTAGCAAATCAGCGAAGTGTTTTAGGAGGGGGAAAATCCTAACAACATCACATGGCATTACTAATTTACTCAGCCAAATCAGCAACTGCCATCCCTGTTGGCTTTGGACCAGCAGCAGCAAAGACTGCTTCCACCTTATAGAAATTGGGGATGGTTTAGTAAAATCGCATCTGATCTCATGACTGTAAAGAGACTGCATTTTCATCAGCCATTCCCAAGTGAAACCAATGTCCAAGGAACAGAATGGTGAAATAGTTGGGCTACTAGCAGACAAAGGAGACAGGATAAGAAACAGCCAGTTTCCAAATCCTGATAATGCAGGGGAACATTACAGATGCCACGACAGTGGAAAACTGGGGAGAGCAGGCCCAGGAGATGTAACAGTGTGCCAACAACACATGCCTAGCACATGCACTCACACACAGCCAGGCACCTCTGATGAGCAGGACAGACAGCTGTTAAATGAAACGTAGCAAGAAGCCGAGATGTCCTTTTCTCTTCCTTTTTAATTGATTAGAAAAAGCAACAAAGCCACGGGCATCTGGATAGAGTTCACAAAAGTGTTTCGGGTGTCCCTAGTATGTGCCATTTGAGACTTTTCAAACCAGTATCTCCAGTTACTACCACTTCCAGCACAAGAACCACAGACCCTTCTAACACCTCCCCGGACAGACTCTTCTCAACAGTTTCACCAAGCAAGGACCTTCTATCACAGCCACAGTCCCATTCACCCAAGCTCCCACCCAACTTACCCAAAACTCAGTAAACCTTCCCAGATCTGATAGCTTGGGATCCCCATCCATCCCTCCATCTTGGTTCCCTTCCACCTTGCTTTTAGCTTCAATATTAGGGATCCTAAAATGATAATGAAGAACAAGAAGCTGGATCATGTCTTGCATCATGGTACCAACAACCATCTCAAGGACATCAGTAAAGATATAGGGACATGCTACAAACGCAGGGCAGAACGAGGCCCAGTGTCTCGCTAATTTGAAGTACCTATCCATCATGCTCCTAAACTCACTGTTTTTACAAGACAGCCTCTGTCCTTTTTTGTCTGACACCAAACTTCATCTTTTCTTTAACCTGTGCTGAGAGCAGTTATATTTGGTGGCACAACAACAGGGAACAAAAAAAAAATTCACCATTGTTTTTGAAAGCAATAGCACCACCACCAACTTTCAAGGGCAAAATATGGAGCAGAAGGTGAGTAAATACAGTACTCACTGTACAATTTCATTCATAGAAGATTTTAAGGAGAGCTCTGACCAAAGGGTCGAGCTGTTCATCTGTTTGATCCTTCTATTATTAACTTCCATCTTTTCCTCTGTTGACCAAAACCAAAGATAGTTGTTTTCTTTTCTTGGCCTCTTTAAACTAACATGATGTATCCTTTACACCCATTCCCCATGAAAGGAGAGCACCAGTCCATTTCACATAACTTTTCCTTTCCTTTGAAGACTAGGCCAAAGTGTTGCATATTCATTACCACATCAAGAACGCTTTGCCTGAGGCCTGCATTTCTTGGTGTGCTGTAATGAGTTCAAGACCCCAGCTGTCTGCCTGGGGATTTAGAACACTGATATTTAATACTAAATTATAAGGCAGAATATTTCATTTTACTTTTTTGCTGAAGTAGCATATTTATAATGGTACACTCTACAGCCACTAAATAAAGATGGGGAGAGCACATCTTTCTGTTCAGACAACACAGACTCTGGGTTACCATGGTCTGGCCCTAGCCACTTCAGTTTTTGGATGCCAGTCTCTGCTCTTAACCCATTATTGGATCTCCCTAATGTCACACCTCCCACTAGCATCCAATAATACACTGGAACAAACTGCAACATATTCCCAGCATGTTTATAGAAGCCAACTTAGAGCCTACTATACTAACAGCTTTAACAAGCACTACACAAAGCAGAGCAGCTAATAAAACCAAAATGTTCTGCAGTTAGTCCTTGGAAGTTTGCCACTGAGATCCCACCAACACCATTTCAGGGATAGTGGCTTCATCAAGCTCAAACCCTGCTTTCATCTAATGAAACGGCCTGGAGCCACATTCCGACAACACACCTCACAGCTATATGCTTCCTCTGGGCTCTCTGATGACAATCTACAAAACGTGTACAGCATCAGATCTGGACTGGGAAATTTTTTAAGGAACATCAGCATTCTGGAAGGAACAGCAGAGTAATTAGTATTTCTCTAAGTAGTGCCAGATGTGTTTAAAAGCCACAAACATAAACAGGAGGGGAAAACCTGCATAGTTTCAATTAAAGCTAGTAAGAGCATAAACAATCCCCTCCAATAGCCACAAGCTGACAGACCAAGATCCTGCTAATTCTTTTTCCTCATCAAATGTCTTTCATATCTGATTTCCTACTTGAAGTTACACAAGCATGCACCTCCTCAGATTTAGTGTGCTGGGGTAGAATACCTTAAAGGTAAAAAAGAGATTAGTTCAGTCTTCCTCCAGAAAAGCTTCAAGACATTCAGTGCCTCAATTACCAGGAAAACCATGAACCATTACCTTCTGCTATGCTACCTTACCTCACTGCCACGGGACACAGATAGGAACAGTCTTGTGCATCTCGTGACAACTGCCTCAGCACCACAGGAGCCACAGCCCTGTCCTTGACCATACTGCTTTGCCTTCTTTCTTTCTGCATGCTTATTTCCTGGAACTATAGCCAGTTTGGGTTTAGTGGTCTGTCAGAGAAAGACATGCACAGCTGAGCAACATCAGAATGGGTCATAGTTCTTTTACTCCCCTATGTGAAGATGAAAAAAAAAAATGAGAGAGAAAAGTCTTTCCTGTGACTACTTTGATATGCATGATCTTGTCCCTACTCTGCTATATTAGCATATAGGATAGCTTCAAAAGATGTCCAACTGCAAAGCTCCGTTCCAGCAAGCAAATGGCAGGATCAGAACATATTCATTCCTTCACCAGCAGCAAGACACCACCAGCACATAATGCTCTGACTGAACTCCTACTTCAGTTCTCTGATTTCGCCTACATCTTGAGATGTATAGCAACACTTCAAGTTCTGGAGCAGAACAGAAAATGAATGTCCTTCCGCTCAGGATATGGTTTCTGTTAGCTTTACTCCCTACTCCAGCCTTTAAGATAATTGAGGTTAGGACTCAGACTAAGCCCAACCCTACTTCAGAAGGGCAGAGAAGGGTTATAACCACACGCTCCCCTAGCAAATCTAGCCCAAATTGGAAGCCATTACTAGATAGTCCCTGCAAATGTGACTTCAGCAGGGATAAGTGGGTAGGGTTGCAAGTTCAGCCGTTTGGCAGTAGTAGTGTCTAAAGAGGACAGTTTGCACTAGGTAACTGCATCTTAGCTTCAGAGACTACACTATCTGTTTTAGCCTTTACAGCGCCTCACTCCTTTCTGCACAACCAGTCCAGTGACTAATAGCTACCTGGAAAGACAAAGGAAAAACTGTATTTAAAGACAACATTGCTTGCTTTTTATTTATTTTCAATACACCAGTATTACAATTTTTAAACCAAGTAACAAGGTCAGTTTAGGGACTGCTCACGAGCAATGCCTACAAAGAGGCCAGAGATAACAGAACATCACCTCTGAGTAAAACCAACATTTTCCTTCACACGATATACACGGCCAGCAATGACTTTCCATCCCCTGCCCGAATCCAGCAGCTCCTCCTCCTGACAGGAAAGGGGAGTTCAC